GGTAAAGATCCAGTTTGGTGTCATGGTCAAGATTTTGACGTCGCATAATGGAACTGAATTTTTTAATTCACAGAGTAACACTCTTCTTCAGGACCTAGGGATAATTTATCAGAGTAGTTGCAGTTACACATCACAACATAATGACATTGTTGAGAAAAAGCACATGCATATTCTAGATGTAGTAAAAGCATTGAGATTCCAGTCTCATATGCCTATTAGATATTGGGGTTTTGTGTAAAGACAGCAGTATATTTACTCAATAGACTACCATCTTCAGCTATTAAGGGTAAAAGTCCTTTTTAGATGTTACATAAACACTTGCTATCCTTATCTCATCTGAAGGTGATAGGTTGCTTATGCTATGCAACTGTGGTTCCTAAAGGGGCTAAGTTTGCAAAAAGAGCAAAGGCAACTGTCCTCATGGGATATTCTGAAACACAGAAGGGATACATCTTAATGGAGTTGTCCTCTAAACAAATCTTTGTCAGCAGAGATGTGGTATTTAAGGAGACAGAGTTCCCTTTTGCCAAGACACAATGTGCACTTTAGACTTTAGCTGATGATATGAAGCAACAATCCAATGATTCTCCATTATCATTTCCTTGTGTTCCTCATCCAGTACATAGGGATAGTAATCCAACAAATGCAAATCAAGGTACTGAAGAGTTGTTGCCTGCTTCTGAGCCTAGTTCCGAGACCAATCAAGAAGCTCAACCAGGGGAAGAATTGGCAGATATTGATGGAGCCTCTCAAAACTATCCTAGAGTTAAGATTAGAATCTGGAAGGGAGTCTAAACAACCTATATGGATGAGGGACTATATGACAACCGGTAAAACAACTCGCCAGTACCCCTTATCAAACACTTTGTCTTATAACAGGACATCTCCAAGTTATTACAGCTATCTTGCAATGTTCTCCACATTAGTGAAACCTCAGAGATTCAAATAGGAAGTAAAGGATGAGAGGTGGATAAAAGCCATTAAATAGGAGGTTAAGGCTCTTGAAGACAATCACACATGGAAGGTTGTAGACCTGCCAAAAGGGAAGAATGTTGTGGGATCTAAATGAGTATACAAGATTAAATATTAGGCGAATGGTGAAGTTGAAAGGTTTAAGGCAAGGTTGGTTGCTAAGGGATACAATTAGCAAGAAGAATTGGACTATCACGACACTTTCTCCCCTGTGGCAAAGATGGTGACTTCAGATCCACCATTGCTTTAGCAGTATCAAAGGGCTGGACATTGTACCAAATGGACATCTACAATGCCTTTTTACAAGGTGATCTTTACGAAGATGTATACATGGAGCTACCTGAAGGTTTTAGAATACAGGAGGAGCATAAAGTTTGCAAGCTGCTCAAGTCTTTATATGGACTCAAACAAGCATCAAGGCAATGGAATATTAAATTGATCAATTAATGGAAGTTGGTTTTGTTCAAAGTAACCACGACTATTCTCTATTTATATTGAGTAGACATGAAGGGATAATGATTATACTTGTGTATGTTGATGATCCACTCATCACTGGTAGTAATGAAGAGCTGATTACTTAAGCTAAAGGTGTGTTACATCAGAAGTTCAAGTTGAAAGACTTGGGTGAACTCAAATACTTCTTAGAGATTGAGGTATTGCGGTCCAAAGCTGGAATTATTCTGAACCAAAGGAAGTACATTCTTGAGCTGATATCTACTATTGGGTTGAGTGGGTCTCAAACTGCTATTACTCCCTTGGAATCAAATCTAAGGTTAACTAAAGTGGAATATGATTATGCTACAGGGGCTACATGGGATGAATTACTATAGGATGTTGGTTCATATCAAAGGCTGGTTGGGAAGCTAATCTATGTCACAGTCAGCAGACCTGATCTATGTTATGTAGTACAAACGCTAAGCCAATTTATGCAGAAACCTAAGAAGTCTTACTGGGGAATCACCAATTAGAGTAATCCGATACTTAAAGAATACACCAGGTCAAGGAATTTGGCTGAGAGCTGATTCTACTCAAGAGTTAACTTGTTGGCGTGACTCCGATTGAGCAGCTTGCCCAAATACCAGGAGATCTACAACATGGTATGTGATCAAATTTGGAGAATCTATGATTTTATGGAAATAAAAAGAAACAACAAACTATATCAAGAAGTTCCGTTGAAGCTGAGTACAGAAGCATGGCCTCAGCTATGGCAGAAGTTACATGGTTCTTGGTTTGTTCAGAGAAGTGGGTGTGAACATCAGGAGACCTGTGGCAATCTTGAGTGATAGTAAAGTTGCGATGCAAATAGCTGTCAATCCCATATTTCACGAGCGTACGGAACACATTAAAATCGATTGTCACTTCATTAGAGAAAAGATGAAATCTGGCATGGTGAAAACTTTATATGTTGATACAAAGGATCAGTTGGCAGACTTGCTGACCAAAGGCTTAGGACAGGTTCAACATGCTCATCTGCTAGGCAAGTTTGGTGTACTTAACATTGTGCACTCAACTTGAGGGGGAGTGTTATGAGGAGCTGTAATGGAGTGACAATGTACACGTGCACAACATGCATGACGGTTAGATGACGTCTGTATTAAGTTAATCTGTTTGGAGTAGTTATTCAGTCAAAAATTAACTAGCTAATGCTTCTTGCATAAATAAAAGTTCTTCAGTAATAAGAGATAGACAGTTATCATTTCTCTCTCAAATATTCTCTCTCTAGACTGCAGCAGAAGTTTCCTCCATTGGAGAGCTTGATAATTTAGATATTAATCACTTTTATCACATTTAGGGGAGAACCAGCTAGCTCCAAGCAAAAATAATAAAATTATGACAGCTTAGTGCACATATTATATCACAAACATTAACAACATAAAAATAAAGACAAGAAGTCCTCATAATCATTTTCAGTCATACAATGCCATTATCTTTGTTGCATTTGACAACATGATAAAAGTAGTATTTAACAATAACTAATAATTCTAAACTCCACATTAATTAAACAAAATATGCACACATTATGGAGTCAGCACATAATGAGTCAATACTTAGTCCTACTACTTAAGAAAAGAAAATTGGAGGGAGGAGAAACAACCCTCAATAGAGAGAAAAGAAATTGATGAAGAAAGGATGACACTTGATGAAATTTGAATAATACATTTCATCCCGACTTATCTTATTTGCAAGCTTCAACCACCAAACGTTATGGTGGGTGGTATGTAACCAAAGGTTTCGAGTTTGAGTCTCGAAATTGGTACTGCCATTGGTAGGGAGCGGTGTGCCCTCTAAAGTGGAACTTCCGACATGAATCTAATTAGCCGAACCCAAAGTGAGTACCAAATAGGAGATAGAAAACCCAAAAAAAAAAAAAAGTACATAGCTCAACCATTGCTTAGGGTTTGGCCGGTAAAATTGTTAATGGATCCTTTCAAATTTTTATTACCGTCGAAACAGTCCATCTTCTACGTAAGGCAACATTTATCATTATATAAAACGCTGTTAGAAATAAAGAGTCAATTACTCAAATGGTCACTCAACTATCCGAAATTATCTCCTAAAGTCACTTCTCTTTCGTTTGTAACAACAAAGTCACTGAACTATGCCAATTGCACTCAGGAGGTCACTCAACTAGATTATCCAAATTTTGAATTGCCAAATACCTATTTTACCCTCTAAAATTATAAACATTTATCTTCTTTTTATTTTTTTTAAAACTTTTTACTATTAACAACAAAAATTTAAAAAATTATTTACACAATTCAGAATGAAAGAAAATAAATGTTGTAAAATATATATTCCATGCACGTCATATAAAAATAATTATTTAAATAAAGGTATTTTTATAATATACATTATATATTCTTGAAAATTATGCTCAATTATATTATTATGTTTCTACCAACTTTCCGACGACGCAAAGTTATGTCACCAAAAAGCATGGGGACTATCTATATAGGGTAAAATATGCTATGTTAAGTCGTGCATGGAACATATATAATATAATTGAGCATAATTTAAATACCTTTATTTAAATAATTATTTTTATATTACGTGCATGAAATATATATTTTACAACCTTTATTTTCTTTGTTCTGAATTGTGTAAATAAATTTTGAATTTTTGTTGTTAATACTAAAATTATTATTACTAACAAATTATTCTAATTAATTTTTTTATTATGCTCATTATTTTGTTATTCCAGCATTATATATGCTTAAATACTTTTTAATTTTTAATTTATAAATAATATTTATTTATTCTATAGGTAAGTCCGTAATGTAAATTAAAAAAGAAAAAATTCTAATATTAAAAAGTTGTTAAAAAAATGAAAAGAAGATAAGTTTTTATAATTTAGAGGGTAAAATAGGTATTTGGCAATTCAAAATTTGGAAAATCTAGTTGAGTGACCTTCTGAGTGCGATAGGCATAGTTGAGTGACTTTGTTGTTACAAACGAAAGAAAAGTGACTTTAGAAGATAATTTGGGATAGTTGAGTGACCATTTAAGTAACGGACTCTTGAAATAAATTCATATTAAATACAAGCCTCATACTGCGAAAACAACAAAAGTAAACTCCGGTTACGTAAATTTTCTTTCCTTTACATGTAGAAGGGCAGTGCACTAGTTATAGAAATTATAATTGGAAATGAAATAAGAAATACCGTATAATTTTCTTAAAATATTCGGGAACATATTTCAAAAATCCAAGAAGATAAGTGTCATTAGTACGTATCTGTTTTTTCCTTGACAAGTCAAGATGAAATAACTTGGATTCCAAATTGACAAATGATTCTTTTTCCACATAATTAAGTCTTCTCCACACTTATTAATTATATGTGAAAAATTAATCATTTGTCAATAATAATCCCAAGATCTATGCAAAGTAAATTATTAGAGATTTTGCAAATTTTCAGTTTACCAAAAAAGAATGAAAGTTTTTCCTATAAACAAATACTCAGTCTCTTACCAAGTACTAAAGTTGAGCATTTTAAGTTTAGTATCAAGACATTCACACAAGAAGGCCAAAAATGCAAGAAGTGACTTTGAACAATTGTGACAAAGCCATGCCAGTAATTGGCATGGGAACTGCTTCTTCATTTCCGCCGGCGGTGTCGACGGAGACAGTGAAATCTACCCTATTGGAAGCCATTAAAGCCGGCTACCGCCACTTCGACACGGCATTTATTTATCCATCGGAAAAGCATCTAGGAGAAGCCATTGTTGAGGCTCTTCATCTTGGTATCATCAAGTCGAGGGATGAGCTTTTCATCACTACTAAGTTATGGTCTACTTTTGCTGAACGGGATCAAGTTGTTCCTGCTTGTAAACTCAGTCTTCAGTAAGTTATACTTCCTTTCTACAAATTTACGCTACGATATATTATTTTGAATAGGTTGTTCTTTAACCATACTTTTCTTAAATACTTTAGTCTTTAGATGATTAACTATTATGACTTATGATACTTTTTATATAGTTTTAATAAAAAAAAAATTCAAAAATTTAAAGAATTTATGTCAAAATTCAACCTTCTGTACGTTGTATGCCTACTTTTGTCGAGGCATTTTCGGTCGTTTTAGTATACGAAGATGGAATTGTTTAGAGCCGGTGTTTCTTTTAGAAGGATAGAATCAAAGTATAATATTGAATAAGTTGGTGTAATTGTTGAGTAAGAGTTGTACAGCAGTGAAGTCAAGACATCAGTTATAATAATCATGCTACTATGAGATCAATATGCTAGACATGCTCAATTAGATGAATTTTGATATAAATTGTGCTGCTTTGAAATCTGATAGGTGTGTTTTTATAGCAGTTCAAGAGGTTGGTTTACTTTTGGACATGCTTTGTTTGCATTGGTTCCAAAATTTATCTGTTTAGCTGCTATGCGGCGCGTTTCTGAAGTGTCTTGGAAGTAGGGTTGTGCTTGGTCGGATCTCATTGGATTTAGCACATTTCATATTGTAAATTCGGATTTCAGATTTTATAAAATGCACTCCAACTCCAATTCAAATAAAATTGGATTGGATTTAAAAGTTTAAATCGGGTGAATATTTCGGATTTTCGGATCTGACTGTACGCCTTATTAAGGCGACTACTAGGGGTGTCAATGGTTCGGTTCAGCCGGTTATTTTATAAAATTTGTACCATACCAATTTTTCGGTTATTCTATTATGTATAACCAAAATTAGACTTTTCGAAACCGTACCAATCTTGTCGGTTTCTCTTCGGTATCCGTATGGTACGGTTAATTTTCGGTATTTATTTTAAATATCATATAAAATTCACCAATAGAAGTAGAATGCAATAACATAAGTTCTTTATAGGACTTGTGAAAGATGACTAGAGTATAGATCCATCAACTATTCTACAACAACGTAAAAGAAACCAAGCAAAGGCAAAGAATATATAAATCACACAAGTAGAAAAGATATTAACCAAGTTAGGACTCAAGAATAAAGTCTATAGAAGATTAAATATTCGAAAAGATAAATCTAAATTATATGAAAGGAGACATATTCAATACATTGTAGTTTGCTACTCGTAATAGCTATAATACTATGTGCCGTGCTAATAAAGATACTTGAAATAACTTAGTTTAAGTAGAAGTAGCATAATAGGTTTTAGGAATTAGTATTTTGAGTTTAGTTACTTGTTGGCTTGTAATAGTTTTCATAATTCCAAGGCCCAAAGAAAAATTTAATGCATTATTGTTTTTAAACTTACTAGATAAATATATTTTTCACTTATAAAATTTATTTGTACGGTTCGGTATTTTTTTGATTTATTTTTATAAAATAAAAAACCTACCCGAATTATCGGAGCGGTTATAGATTTATATAAAAACCTACGATTTTTTAAAAAGAAACCTAAAAGTCGGTTCGGTGCGGTACGGTTCGGTTGGTATAGTCGATTTTTGAATATCCATTGACACCCCTAGCGACTACCAATCTAATCGGCTACTATACTTTTTAAGGCTACTGCTATTCAATCACTCTAATAAATTGAAAGGCGACAAATGTCTTTTATAGCAACAGACAAAACAACAGTTTCATAATAAAACAAAATAAACTGAAATTCCAAACAAATATCTAATAAGGGAGAGGCATCATCGTCCTCGAAGGAGAGACTGGAAATGAGAGACACAGAGATAAGATTTAAGAGAGAGAGTGAGATAAATTAAGAAAAGAAGAGTCTAAAGAGAGACGGATGAAATGGAAGACATAACCATAAAATGAAAGTATAATATTTATACATGTCCATACAATTCGGATTTCGGATCGGATTGGATTAAAATTATACCACTCCGAATCCGATCCAATTATCCGAAATTTTTAAAAAACCTATTCTATATCCGATCCAAAAATCTGAATGGAGTGAATCGGTTCGGATTCTCGAATATCCGATCCAAATGCACAATCCTACTTGGAAGAGCGTCAAAAAACAAAACAATAAATGTCTTTCGTCAGTGTCAAACTATTAGAGTTGCAATTTGCAAACCAATTCAGGGAAATTAAACACCTTTTTACGAAAAGAAAGAATTGAATTAAACCTTACTTGTATTACAAAGAAAGACGATTATAAGAGAGCTTGGTGCGACCAAGAGTTGTCAAGTATTTAATTTGTTGTAGTTTCTTAGCAAACATTAAAGTTTATCCCAAAATTTTGTCGAAATAATTAACAATTTTGTACCTTTCTGTTGCAGAAATTTGCAATTGGAATATGTGGATATGTATCTAATTCACATGCCACTGAGACTAAGTGAAACGATACAAAAACTCCCAGTTCCAAAAGAAATAATTCATCCATTGGATATCAAGGGTGTATGGGAAGGAATGGAAGAATGCAAAAGTCTTGGCCTCACAAAGGGAATTGGTGTTAGTAATTTCTCTTGCAAAAAGCTTGAGAAACTCCTTTCCATTGCTAAAATTCCTCCTGCTATCAATCAAGTGAGTCTTCTTCCAATCATTTCAACTCCCCAAGAAAAAAAAATAACCCATTTTTTAAAATCTATTTTTTATAAACGTACCAAGAACTTGCGGCCCTTCCCCGGACCCCGCGCATAGCTGTAGCTTAGTGCACCGGGCTGCCTTTTTTTAAGGTTTTGGTACGTGTATCTATCGGAAACAATCTTTCTATCTGCACAAGGTAGGGGCAAGGTTGCGTGCACATTACTCTACTTGTGAGATTCCACTGGATATATTGTTGTTGTTGTTGTTGTTTAAGGTTTTGGAATGTCCATTAAGAAAATCACCTAATAATAGTTGTAATTTTATAAGAAATATTTGGCTAAAATTACCTTATCTCGTCTAAATGCCTTCTTGGAGTAGTCAGAGTAGGAAATATTGAAAAATAATTAATGTCTTTTTGATTTTTTAATGTGGTAAAATCATTTTTTTCTCTTTCTATAATGACGGAGAAAAAAATCACCTAATAATAGTTGTAATTTTGTAAGAAATGTTTGACTAAATTACCTTATCTCTTCTAAATACCTTCTTGGAGTAGTCAAAATAAGGAAATATAGAAAAATAATTAATGTCTTTTTGATTTTTTAATGTGTTAAAATCAATTGTTTTTTAAATAAAATGACGGATAAAAAGGATCAAATGGAGTACATTGACTGAACTAACCCACTCCAAGGGGCAGGTGCACATTTTTTATTTGGACGTACTCATTGTCTTCAACTCGAAATATTTACATATGTAAATATTTTAAATATTTGTGTATTTATTTTAAGTATGCATCCATTAATGTCACAAAGGAAAACTTGGTGGAGTGCTACTTCATATCCATTGACTTAAACTCTTGAATTCGTTTATGAAAATTCTTTTTTGGAGCCGATGGACTATTAGAAATAAAATCTCTACTTCACATAAAGTAAGGGTAAGGTCTCCGTACACCTCACCCTATCTAAACCCTACTTATGAGATCACATGGGTATGTTATGTTGGGTTTTGGATGTGTTTAATTAATATATTAAATACTTAAAAGAGGGTGAATGGGAAATGGAGGGAAATAAAATTTTGAGTGAAATTTTAAGTTCCCCCCATTGGCAAATGGGCATTGTCCCATATTGGAAGAGGAAGAGGTTTTTTATGGGTATATAAGCAATTGCTCTTCTTCTAGCTCTTAAAGAGTTGAGAAGAAGGCAAGCCTCGCGCCATCGTCGTCGCTCGCTCGGCTTCGGCTTCGGCTTCGGCTTCGGCTTCGGATTCGGTTTCGGTTTTGGATTTGGATTTGGTCAAATGATCGATTGATTGATTAACTTTTTGGACCAAATTTATTTGTTAATAGTAAAATATTAACAGAAATGTTATTAAATATTTGTTTTAATAACAAAATATTAATTTTAAATATTAATATTAAATCCAATCCGTTTTTCTGTTTTGGTAACAGAAAAGTAACTCTTCAATTTTCCCTCTTTATTATTGAGTAAATGGCCATTTATGTAATGGCATTTATGCTGTGGGCGTTTTGCATAAACAGCCATTCTGAAGAGTTGCACCTCTTCAGATTTCAGCCTAACTGTGGCTATAAATACAACACTATTCTGCTCAGAATTTCACTACGATTTTCTGAGTTTCTTCTCCTTCTTCTGCATACTTTTAGCATCAAACAAAGCAAAAAGTAAGTGTGATTTGCTACCGAACTTTGTGTTCGCTGAAACACTAGGGTTTGAAGTACCACTACACCAGTGTGTAATTCGTTCTATCCTGGGAGGAAATAATCCATAACCTTGGGTACTAGGAGGGGATTAAATTCCTTAAGGAAACACTGTGAATTAAGTGGGCTCGAATTGGTTTTATGTCATTTCTGTTTATGTTCATTTCTGTTTATACTCATTTATATTTCCAGAATTATTTTACAAATACAGTCTACTAACAAGCTTAAGGAATTTAATTTGATTTCTGTATTTGTATTTACTGTTTCTGGAAGAGTAAAACCTTTGTGGTTTTGTACTCTATTAAAATCTACGTGATTTTAACGTTTGTGCCATTCTTTTACAGAAATGACTAATGAAAATGAGAACCAAGCTGTTCCAATGGTGACTGCCAATGCCTCAACAAGTAGAACGACACCGGCAGCATTGGCACCGGCGGAGAAACCCGAAAAATTTTCCGGGATTGATTTCAAGCGCTGGCAGCAAAAGATGTTCTTCTATTTGACTACTCTAAGTCTCCAGAAGTTCATCAAGGAAGATGTTCCTGTGCTGTCCGACGAAACTCCAGAAACTGAACGCTTTCTCGTGATTGAGGCGTGGAAGCATTCAGATTTTTTGTGCAAGAATTATATTCTAAGTGGGCTGGAGGATGCTTTGTATAACGTCTACAGTGGCGTGGAAACGTCAAAGGAACTGTGGACTGCGCTTGAAAAGAAATACAAAACCGAAGATGCCGGGTTGAAAAAGTTTGTTGCTGCAAAGTTTTTGGACTACAAAATGGTAGATAGCAAGTCTGTTATTACCCAAGTCCAGGAATTGCAAGTGATTATTCACGATCTCCTTGCTGAAGGTATAAATCAAATTAATATTGATGTTGAAAGTAATAATCTTAGTATTTTTACTAACAGAAATTTCATTGAAGGTCTTGTCATCAATGAAGCATTTCAAGTAGTAGCAATGATTGAGAAGTTGCCTCCTTTGTGGAAGGACTTCAAAAACTACTTGAAACACAAACGTAAGGAGATGTCCCTTGAAGATCTCATTGTTCGGTTGAGAATCGAAGAGGACAACAAAGCTGCTGAAAAGAGAGTCCGTGGAAACTCAACAATAATGGGAGCAAATATTGTTGAAGTGAACAAAAAGAGGAATAAGGCTTCTGGACCGAAATACAACCCAAGCAAGAAGCGGTACAGTGGAAACTGCTACAACTGTGGAAAAACCGGACACAAATCTACGGAGTGTCGTGCTCCGAAGAAAAACAAGAGGAAGGGTCAAGAAAACATGGTTGAAAAGCATGATGATGTTGATGATTTATGTGCCATGCTTTCCGAATGCAACTTGGTGGGCAATCCTAAAGAGTGGTGGATTGATTCTGGAGCCACTCACCATGTTTGTGCTGTTAGAGAAGTTTTTGCTTCTTATGCTCCTGTTGGACCCGATGAGACGATTTCTATGGGAAATACTTCAAAGGCGAAGATTGAAGGATGTGGGAAGATATTTCTCAAAATGACTTCCGGCAAAGTGGTGACTTTGAACAACGTCCTTCATGTTCCCGAGATTAGGAAGAATTTAGTCTCTACTGGACTTCTTGCTAAGAATGATTTTAAATGTGTTTTTGTTTCCGATAAGGTTGTAATAAGTAAGAATGTAAAAGTTGTTGAAAATAATAATAAAATTTCAGCTTCGTCTTACTTACTTGAGTCAAATGAATTATGGCATATACGTTTGGGTCATGTCAATTATAAAACCTTACGGAAAATGATTAATTTGGAAGTATTGCCCAAGTTTGAATGTGACAAATCAAAATGTCAAGTATGTGTGGAATCTAAGTATGTTAAACATCCTTATATGTCGGTTGAAAGGAATTCAAATCCTTTAGACTTAATTCACACAGATATTTGTGACATGAAGTCAATACCATCTCGCGGTGGGAAAAAGTATTTCATAACTTTTATTGACGATAGTACTCGATATTGCTATGTTTACTTACTTAATAGTAAAGATGAAGCAATAGACGCATTCAAGCAATACAAAAATGAAGTTGAAACGCAACTTAATAAGAAAATCAAAATGATAAGAAGTGATAGGGGTGGTGAATATGAATCTCCTTTTGAACAAATATGTTTAGAATATGGAATTATTCATCAAACAACGGCCCCTTACACGCCCCAATCCAATGGGATTGCAGAAAGAAAGAATCGTTCATTAAAGGAGATGATGAACGCATTATTGATAAGTTCTGGTTTGCCACAGAACTTGTGGGGGGAAGCCGTTCTTACGGCTAGCCGAATACTAAATCGAGTACCCCATAGCAAAACACAATCCATTCCATATGAAAAATGGAAAGGAAGGAAGCCCAACTTGAATTATTTTAAAGTGTGGGGGTGTTTGGCAAAAGTGCAAGTTCCTAAACCCAAAAGGGTAAAAATAGGACCGAAAACCGTTGATTGTGTTTTCATAGGATATGCGACTAATAGTAAAGCATATCGATTTCTGGTTCATAAATCAGAAAATCCCGACATTCATAATAATACGGTTATAGAATCAGATAATGCTGAGTTCTTTGAAAATATATATCCGTATAAAAAGGAATGTGAGTCGATTGGTGAAGGATCTAAACGACCCCGGGAAGAAACAAAAGAAAGTACACTTAACCAAGAGGATCCAAGACGTAGTAAACGTCAAAGAACGTCTACTTCATTTGGACCAGATTTTGTGACTTTCTTATTGGAAAATGAGCCTCAAACATTTAAAGAAGCTATGTCTTCTTCGGAATCATTGTTATGGAAAGAGGCGGTCAATAGTGAAATAGAATCCATACTGAACAACCATACATGGGAATTGGTTGATCTTCCTCCTGGAAATAAACCGTTGGGTTCTAAATGGATCTTTAAGAGGAAAATGAAAGATGATGGCACTATTGACAAGTATAAGGCAAGACTTGTGGTCAAAGGGTATAGACAACGAGAAGGTCTTGACTATTTTGATACATACTCTCCAGTTACAAGAATTACATCCATACGAACGTTAGTAGCGTTAGCTGCAGTTTATGGTCTTGAAATTCATCAAATGGATGTTAAGACGGCCTTCTTAAATGGAGAGTTGGAGGAAGAAATTTACATGGAACAACCTGAAGGGTTTGTGGTTCCAGGTAAAGAAAAGAAGGTCTGTAGACTTGTTAAGTCCCTTTACGGATTAAAACAAGCACCCAAACAATGGCATGCTAAATTTGACCAAACAATGTTGTCAAATGGATTTAAGATAAATGAATGTGATAAATGTGTGTACATTAAAAATGTTCCAAATCACATAGTCATTGTTTGCTTATATGTGGATGATATGCTCATAATGAGTAATGACATTGCCAACATAAATGCTACTAAGCGTATGCTAACTAGCAAGTTTGATATGAAAGACTTGGGAGTTGCTGATTTAATTCTGGGAATTAAGATCCATAAGACTTCTCAAGGTCTAGCATTGTCACAATCTCATTATATTAAGACAGTACTTGAAAAATTCAAGCACTTGGGCTTTAAAGTTGCAAAGACTCCAATTGATGTGAATCTTGCATTAGCAAAGAACAAAGGCCAGAGCATATCACAATTGGATTATGCTCGTGTGTTGGGTTGCTTAATGTACATCATGAATTGTACACGACCAGATATAGCTTGTGCTATAAGTAAATTGAGTCGATATACGAGCAATCCAGGCCAATCTCATTGGATGGCCATGAAACGAGTTTTGGGGTATTTAGTACATACCCAGGACTTTGCTTTGCACTACAATAAATATCCTGCGGTCATTGAGGGATACTGTGATGCAAATTGGATCACCGGATCAACTGATTCCAAGTCCACAAGTGGATATGTATTCACTATTGGTGGAGGAGCGGTATCTTGGAAGTCATCCAAACAAACTTGTATTGCCCGCTCTACAATGGAGGCTGAGTTCATAGCCTTGGATAAAGCCGGTGAAGAAGCTGAATGGCTCCGGAATTTCTTGGAAGATATTCCATTTTGGCCCAAACCGTTGGCACCAATATGCATACATTGTGATAGTCAAGCGGCAATTGGAAGGGCTGGGAGCGTTATGTATAACGGTAAGTCTCGCCATATACGACGAAGACATAAAACCGTTAGACAATTACTCTCTAGAGGAATTATCACGATTGACTATGTAAAGTCAAGTGATAATGTGTCGGATCCACTTACAAAAGGCCTAACTAGAGAGGTAGTTGAGAAGTCATCAAGGGGAATGGGACTGTGGCCGAGAACAAGTCATAGTGGCGGTAACTCTACCTAGAAGACTGGAGATCCCAAGATCTAGGTTCAAGGAGATCAAACAAAGTCATTTATTACGGTTCAACATTGTCAACTAAACTTTTGGTCCATTCTCGTGATGAGACAATGTTCAGTACCAAGGATAAAGCATTAAGGCTTTTTAATGATTTCTAAATTTGATACGGGGTATATCAAATAGTGTATCTACGGGATGACACGTTTAGGAATCACCTATGTAAGTGTGAAGTGTTAGCCGCTTCAAGGAGAACATTGTAAGGCCAGTTCTCTACGCACTTATGAAACCAGGCGGTGTTCATGGCTGAAAAGAACACAACAATGAGAACCAAAGACGGTTAAGGGTTGGTTGTGTGACTTGTGGTTGTCTAGGTATACACTAAAGTTCGACGGTTCAAAGATATCAAATCTACCGATTGATCGAGTATATCCGACATAAGTTCACTACGGAAAGTTCAAAGGGAAACCTACTTATCCAGATGCAATTAATCCTTACTTGCGAATCACACAGTTTTTCATGCATACTTCCGTGATATAGCCATTCCCCATTCATGTGGGGGATTGTTGGGTTTTGGATGTGTTTAATTAATATATTAAATACTTAAAAGAGGGTGAATGAGAAATGGAGGAAAATAAAATTTATGAGTGAAATTTTAAGTTTCCCCCCTTGGCTAATGGGCATTGTCCCATATTGGAAGAGGAAGAGATTTTTTATGGGTATATAAGCAATTGCTCTTCTTCTAGCTCTTAAAGAGTTGAGAAGAAGGCAAGCCTCGCGCCGTCGTCGTCGTCGCTCGCTCGGCTCGGCTTCGGCTTCGGCTACGGCTACGGCTTCGGCTTCGGCTTCGGCTTCGGCTTCGGATTCGGTTTCGGTTTTGGATTTGGATTTGGTCAAATGATCGATTGATTGATTAACTTTTTGGACCAAATTTATTTGTTAATAGTAAAATATTAACAGAAATGTTATTAAATATTTGTTTTAATAACAAAATATTAATTTTAAATATTAATATTAAATCCAATCCGTTTTTCTGTTTTGGTAACAGAAAAGTAACTCTTCAATTTTCCCTCTTTATTATTGAGTAAATGGCCATTTATGTAATGGCATTTATGCTGTGGGCGTTTTGCATAAACAGCCATTCTGAAGAGTTGCACCTCTTCAGATTTCAGCCTAACTGTGGCTATAAATACAACACTATTCTGCTCAGAATTTCACTACGATTTTCTGAGTTTCTTCTCCTTCTTCTGCATACTTTTAGCATCAAACGAAACAAAAAGTAAGTGTGATTTGCTACCGAACTTTGTGTTCGCTGAAACACTGGGGTTTGAAGTACCACTACACCAGTGTGTAATTCGTTCTATCCTGGGAGGAAATAATCCATAACCTTGGGTACTAGGAGGGGATTAAATTCCTTAAGGAAACACTGTGAATTCAGTGGGCTCGAATTGGTTTTATGTCATTTCTGTTTATGTTCATTTCTGTTTATACTCATTTATATTTCCAGAATTATTTTACAAATACAGTCTACTAACATGTTATTGTTGTTGTTTCTGCTTTGGAACGTCACTAAATTTGTTTTTTGGCAATTTATTTGTAATTAGAAGTAAATACTGCAACGTTTGTTTTATAGATGCCTTTGTTTTCTTGTGTTTTGGAAAGGTGGAGATGAACCCAATGTGGCAACAAAAGCAACTGAGGGAATTTTGCAAGGCAAAGGGAATACAAATCACTGCTTATTCTCCCTTGGGTTCCAATAATACATTCTGGGGTGATAACAGAGTTGTGAAATGTGATGTTCTAACTGAAATTGCCAAATTCAAAGGAAAAACCACTGCTCAGGTTTTTTAAGTTCTCTTGTTTTCTTATGTTTTTCATTTTCTTGTTTGATTCTTTTTCTTGTCTAGGTTTCTTATCAAACACTCTTTCGATACTCTTCCTTTTGTCTCCAATTCTATGTTTTAATTTTCTTCGATCATAAAACAAGTTTTCATAAATAAAAAATGGCATTAAGTCATGTTCATTATGCGTAGAACTTGTACAAGAGATTTAATGTTCAACTATTTTCCGATTTTCATGACCCAACCAAGAAAATCTTGGACCGATTATGCTTATTCCTAATTCTAAATGGCCTTAGTTCAGTTGTTGGTGAAATCGATTTTTTGTTCGAGGTATAACCACAACATACTCAGAGGCCGATTTAATTTAGGATTTGAACTTTATGTCTTCAAATTCGTAATTTTACCATATCTCATCTAATTTAGTGTGTTCAAAATTTATTGTTGGTACAGATTTAATAATTATTTTTGGGCAAAAATACAGGGCATGAGTAAAAGTTATGGGTTCAGATAAACCTATAGCTTCTACACTGGATACGCCTCTGACCATACTAGTTGTGTAATTTTTTTTTACACTACTAGTACAAAATAATCTTATTTTCACGTGATATAGGTAACTACCAGTGTTTTCAAAGGCGTGGGCATAAGGCGAGGCGTTTTACATATGCCTCAGCGAGGCGTAAGCCCCATAGGCATTTAATTTTAATATTTTATAAAATAATGTAATTATAGTAAATATTTATAGACAGGTAAAATTGCATAATATATATATATATATGTGTGTGTGTGTGTGTGTGTGTGCGCGCGCGCGCGCGCGCGCGCGTTCCATCCCCACAAAAAACTAGTCAAAATAATTTATTATACGCTACTTACAAGCACAAGTAACTTGAGTCGAAAAGAATAAAGTTTTCTACATGGAGGAACAAATAGAATGACTAACCTGCAATTTGAAATTTGAACTTGCTGCTAAGAAGGAGAATAAAGTTCTTTTTGTATTTGTAAAAAAAAATTGAATATTTGTTGTTTTGGGAGATATTAGCAGACTAGCAAACAAGAGAAAGAATTGGGAAAGACCATAAATTAAGGTTTTAATCAATAAAAAAGTCTTGACTTTTAAATTTGATACATTTCAGTTCCTTTTTAAATTTTTTGAATAATTACAAGCTGACTTTTGTGAATGGGTATTATATGAAGGACTTATTTAATAAATTTTGTTTTAATTTGAAAACATCTCTGGGGCTTACGCCTCACTACAAAAACGTGTCTCAAACGCCCAAGCATACGCCCCGAATGCCCGGGTGTATGCCCCGAATTGCTAGGCGTACGCCTCTTGAGACTTTCGCCCCACACCATCGCCTCGGGGCGTTTTTGGTGCGCCTCGCCCCAGGGCTCGCCCCGAAAACGCCTTTTAAAACACTAGTAACTACCTGTATTTTATTTTTAAATGACCTGATAATGTAAATATTAACTGACTTTGTGCAGGTAGCATTGAGGTGGGTTTATGAGCAAGGGGTGAGTCTTGTTACAAAGAGTTTCAACAACGAGAGAATGAAAGAGAATCTTCAAATATTTGATTGGTCACTTTCTGAAGAAGAGTTGAAGAAAATAAGTGAGCTTCCACAGCGTAGAGGTTTTAGCATGGCCTCTCTGTATGGACCTCATGATATTTTCCTGCAATTAGATGCAGAGATCTAATTGTTGTCTTGGCGAATTAATTACATTTCAAGATTCATAAAGTTACAATAAACTCATTCAATTTCTTGAGACAATGAAAATATTGGTTTAAATTTCTTTATAAAAAAAATTAAGTGATCAGTTGCTGCTCGTGAATTTTCGATGATCAAGTTCTACTCATCCTGAGACGCTTGAGTCCAAGTAGATCGTCTATATTACACCTCTTGAGATGCGATCTTTTCGAGATTCTTCGTAAACGGGAATATCCACTGCATGTGTCATTCTGGGGAAAGAAGTAAATAAATACATTAAAAATCAAATGAAAGAAAGCGTCACGACCCATATTCATGATCCACGATTGACACCTAAAGAGTTTCTACACGTAATCAAATCATACCTCGTGGAGCAAGTTTTCAAATTACAATAAAGTATCTCATTAAAAAAGATATTTATAAACAAAATTGTAGCAAATATACGTCTAATGGACCTGGCCGGTCATTTTGAGAATTAAAGTCCCGTTCGGCGGCATAAGGTCTTAAACAGCTTCGTATTATGTGTTATGACTTGCGTGCGTGACCGAGTTCAGTTATCGGATGATTCGGAGTCAATTTGGAAGAAGGATCTAGTTGGAAGCTTAAGCGGTAAGAGTTGACTAGAATTTGACTTTTGTGTAAACGACTCTGGAATGGGGTTTTGATGGTTCCAATAGCTTTGTATAGTGATTTTGGACTTAGGCGTGTGTCCGGGTTTGGATTTGGAGGTCCGTAGAGTAATTTGAAGCATTTCGGCGAAAGTTGGAAAAGTTGAAGTTTGGAAGGTTGAGAGGTTTGACCAAGAGTTGACTTTGGTGATATCGGGGTCGGAATGCAATTCCGAGAGTTGGAACAACTCCGTTATGTCATTTAGGACTTTCCTGCAAAATTTGACGTCATTCCGGATTGATTTGATAGGTTTCGGCGCGAGTTTTGGAAGTTGGAAGATTTGAATGTTTATAAGTTCGATTCTTGGTGTGATTCGTAGTTTCGGTGTTGTTTGATGCGATTTGAGGCCTCGACTATGTTCGCGTCATGTTTTAGGATGTGTTGGTATATTTGGTTGAGGTCCAAGGGCCTCGGGTGCGTTTCGGACGGGCCAAGGGCCATTTTCTCAAGTTTTGGAAATTCTGAAATCTGGTGTCTGATATCCTTCTATGCGGTCGCATAGGTAGAGTCGCGATCACGAAGGTGTTCCTTCTTCTTCTCCGCGTTCGCAAACCTCTCTCCGCATTCGCATAGTGCTCTTCATCTGGGCAGTATTTTTCCTTAATTGCGATCGCATCTTTTCTCTCGCGATCGCGATGTGTGGCTTTGGGCAGCAGGAAATTCTTTCACTACGCGATCACATGAGTTCTTACGCGATCGCAATGTACATTTTGGGCAGTAGCCATTTTTCTTCTTCGTGGTCGCATTATTTCTTCCGTGATCGCGATTACAAATACCTGGGTAGAATATAAAAGTACTCTATTCCGAGGGTTAGCCATTTTTAACATTTTTGGAGTTCTAGAGCTCGGTTTTGGGCGATTCGTTGTGGGGTTTTCAAGCAAATCAATTGGGTAAGTGTTCTTCACCTAGAATTTATTATATTTCGTAATTCTATCTTTATTTTTATCATTTAATTAGTGTTTTGAGTTGAGGAAAAATGGGGATTTTGAAGAAAACTTTCAAAATGTAAAATGATGATTTGAGGGACGAATTGGTATCGGAATTTGATAATTTTAGTATGGTTGAACTCGTCTCGGAATGCGTATTCGGGTTGTGAAATCTGTCGGGTTCCGAGGTTCGGGCCCGGGGGTCGAATTTTGGGTTGATTTTTAGTTTTTGATAAAGATTGAAACTTTATTATCATGAATAGTGTCTTATGAGTTTTATTTATACTTTGAAGTTATTTTGGCTAGATTTGAGCCTCCGGAGGTCATTTCACTCGAGAAGTTCATTCTTAGAGTATCGGTCTATCTTATTTGAGGTAAGTATCTTGCCTAAGTACTTCGTGTGGGGGAACTACCCCTTAGGATTTGAGTCTTCTATGCTAATTGTATCATGTAAAGTACGTGTACGCGAGGTGACGAGTACGTGCTCGGGCTTATTTTGTGGAAAGATGACCTTCTAGGACTCTTAGGTTCTTATGTTCATTAGATATGAAGTTGTTTTGTTACGTTAAGTTCCCCATTTACTAGTTTCACATCTACGTATTTTAATTGGAATTAATTGCTTCATGTTCCACCCTTATTGCCTATTTGACTCTCATGTGCCTTAACCGAAGTTGTTGCCTCTTCAATTACTATGATATCTTTTCCGTTGCTTATCCTTAATTAAGTTGCTGTATTGTTTCCGTAATTTGCTCAAACCTAAAAGAAGTTAGTTATCCTTTATCATAGTTGCCTCATCCTTATTTGGAATTTATGACTCATGTTGTCTCCCTTGTTGCCTTAATTGTACTTTGTGAAGTTATTGTTACATAATAATTCTCCCTTGTTGAGCTATTCTTATAGTGACTAGTATTATTTATTGTGTTTATTCTTTGTGAGCTCGTTCTACCGTTTCTTTGCATTCTAAAGCTTTTGAGTTGATTTACTTGTCGTATTCTTGTGTATTGTTGTGGTTGTTGCTGTGGTACTCAGTTTTGTTGAGCCGAGGGCTATGCCCGGTTGTGGTATTGAGATTTTTAGTGGAAATATTATGGAATATGGGCACATACTGTGAGGCCATTCTATTTTGTTGTTGTATTGTTGGCACGTGACGTTGTTGGGATATTTTGTATCGGGTGTTTGCATGAGATTTATGCCTGTGCTATTGTTACTGTTGATTATGCACATGCGGCGTGACAAGGCATTCTATATCTGTGTGTTTGCGCATGTGGCGAGGCAAGGTGGGAACGTTATTATGCGCGTGTGGCGAGACACGGCGGGCATTTACTTTATTATTGCGCACGTGACGAGACAAGGTGGGCTTTGTCGGGGATTGTTTGTGATGACTTGTGATAGCCTAGGGGCATTGTTGTTGTTGATATTTGTGTAGTAATGTACTTATCCTGTGTGAGTTATACCGTGTACATTTCGTGGTAATCGTTCCTTATGTGTCATTCATTGTTTCTATTCTTATTAGTTGGCCTGAACTGTGATAGAACACTGGCACAAGCATACACGTAGTTAATCACCCCTAACGGTTTAAGAAGATGAATTCTGATGTTATTGATCCTTTATACACACCCTCGTCTATTGCCTCCTATGTGAGAATGGTTCTATTGGCACGTGCGCCGTCCGTGCGGTTACTAGTTGAAATGAGGGCACAAGATGCCAAGTGTTTAGGTTTCACGAATTGGGACCCGTGACTTGTGAGTATATTGAGGTTTGGTACCACGTGGAGATTACTGGCTAAAACCTGGTGTGAAGGCGGTCGTTCTTGTTGAGTTTCTACTTGCCTTTCCTTTATCTGTGTTCACAGGATTTAAACTGTATTCAGTTCACTCTACTGTATTATTTCTTGTTGTGTTCCGTTGTTAATTGTTGCTTCCATTTTCTTACTGCAAATACTGTGTTATTGTTGTCATTATGTGTAGTCTTTGTAGAGATATCGTACTCTGTTAGTTCTACACTTATACTTGTCCAGGTTATCTAGTACAGTAGGTGTCTTGACTGTCCCTCGTCACTACTCCACTGAGGTTAGTCTTGATACTTATTGGGTACCGCTGTGATGTACTCATACTACGCTTCTGCATAATTTTTTGTGCAGATCCTGGTATTTCAAAGTCAGTCGAACATTAGCTAGAGTCACCTTCTGACGTTGTTTTTTTACACTATTTGTCCTTATTTCGAAATAGTTGTATTTAGAGGTTTCTAGCAAACTCTGTAGAGCTTATGACTTGTACTACTGATTTTGGGATTGTAAACTTTGTATCGAGATTTCTTCTTCGCACTTGTCAATCGTTATTTATTATTATTATTGTTCCAGTAAATGTTAGGCTTACCTAGTCCCTAAGACTAGGTGCCATCACGACCTCTTATGGAGGAAGATTTGGGTCATGACAATACATGTCACATGTCTGAGTCAAGTAATGCCACTATACTTTGCAACAGACTATTCGTACATGCACAATAAACCTTTTGGGTTGAACTAATAGACCATCCATAACCAACACTTACCTCGTTCGCAGCCAAACCAACTGTGCATGACACCGCAACGTTATCTCATAGTGTTAAATTACTTATGTTTTTGTAGAATTAATGATCAAATCAGTTAGATCCTGTCACGACCCAATTTTCCCTCCGTTGGGTTCGTGATGGCACCTAGTCTTAAGGACTAGGTAAGCCTACTAATATGCGAAATAGCAACAATAACTAATAACAGCTAGAATTCTTCTGAGATAAATCCTTTATACAATGATTAACTTCCCAAAACCCGGTGGTACAAGTCATAATCTCTACAGAGTTTCACTATAACTTCTAAACACAACCGTATGGAAATAAGTACAATAGTGTGAATATAAAATAGGAAGGTGATTCCGAAGCCTGCGAACGCAGCAGCAGGGCTACCTTGAGTCTCCTCGGCAAGAATCCCCACAGCTACTAGCGAACAATACCTGGATCTGCACAAAAAAATGTGCAGAAGTGTAGTATGAGCACACCACAGTGCTGAATCAGTAAGTATCAAGACTGACCTCGGTGGAGTAGTGACGAGGAACAGTCAAGACACCCACTGGTCTAATAAGCAGAACAAATTTAAGTATAGAAACAATCGAACGTGATATCTATATAAAGGCTAAACGATATTGCTAACAATACAGTAACTACAATAATGAAAGGAAACAGTAAGTAACAGTGGAAAAACCATAATAAAGCTCATAAAAGTGAACAAAAAAAATACAACCCAAATTCGAAATCCACCAATATAGTAAGGACATATCATAACTCAGCAACTACAGCAGCTTTCACATTAGGTCATAGCCAACAACTTCAATCAATTAGTCAAATCTTTCAGTTGATAAAA